TTATCTGCACTCACTGTTTCCAAACTGCTATAGCTTTCATTCTAAACATCTGAGGCAAAAAGAAAATGCAGAGAATTCACCACCGCTTTTACTTGAGCACTGAGGTGTCTAGTTGGTCTCTTTTCCTTGTACCATTCAGTCATCTGTGTTTGTTTCATACATAATTTCCAGGGATTTTAGCATACTATGTGGAAGGAATAAGGAAAAACACACCTTCATACTCTTCCAAGAAACAGAAATCTGACTCACAAAATTTCCCCCCTCTCCCTGTCTAGATAAACTCTCTGTGATTTAGAAACAAGTATCATAATACCTCAATGTCAATGTCATTTGCTCTGTCTCAAATGCAACCCATTTGGAATTTTCTCAAAGCTGAGCCCACTATGAATGATGCACTACAGGCTACCTGAGGCGCAATTCAAAATTCAAAGCTATTCTTGTGACATCTTCTCTTTTCCATTTTAAACCACTCTGAAAATCTCTTGATTTTTCTTCTATACGGTTTTAAAGCATCATACTTCTCTTTAGCTATATGCCACTATCTTAATGTAATCTTCTTATGTCTGATCAAAACCTTTAGCAAAGGTCTCCTGTCTGCTATCCACATGCAGTCACCCTGTTCTAAATTCTTCTCCATGTTGTAGTTGGATCTTTCAAAATCATTGCTATTGGTTTAAAGATACATATTTTTAAAATATTTAATGTCACTATGCCATGCACATATCTACTATAGACACTCAATGAATATTTGCAAATAACTGCAGTGCTCTAACTTTCCAGATGCATGTCTCCCTACCTAGATTCAATCATCCAAAGGGCAGAAACAGGCCCTAAAACTCTGTGAACTCAGTGCAATGGCAATGTGAAAATGCTTAGTTACATGATCTTGCCATTCTAATGACCTTATACAAAGATATTATTTCTACAACATAATTAAACGGGAAACTTGTGCATAATCAAGTGACTCTGGCACCCTAATCGTGTGTTTGTCAAAGAAATGTTCTTAAATTTCCCAAGTGTGAACACATTTTTTATTGATTGTTTTCATTCAGATTACATTGATTGATCTACAACATTATGTATGATTCAAAGATATAGGATCTCACTCTTCAGAATTATGTCACCACAGCCACCCACCACCAAGTAACCCGTACATAAACTTACACCATACTCACCTGGGTCTCCTCCACACTCGTTTTCCATATATATTTTTAAACCACCAGTTTATTATTTATCTCTATTGGAAATCCATAAAATACTCTCAGCATATTTATAGAATAATAATTTTCAGGTTGAGCAATTCATAAGAAAATTAATTTGGACAAGAAAATAATGATCGTATCAAAGAACATTTTTCCCCACGGCCTGTCCACATAAATGCTATGTAATCACCTATTCTTCACTGTGTGATCTGTTTACTATTGCAGTTACTGCATGTAAAAGAATACTATCACAATACAGTTTGAGATAGTAAGAACATATAAAGGAAAGGTAAAATGTTCTTCCTTTGAAAAACATACAGATCACCTGTGAAAATAATCAAAAGACTATGAAGTACTATAAGAAATAAAATATATTAGCTGTAGGGATAAATAAAGAAAAAAGGCAAGATAGGAGAGAAGTAAGTAAGGTATATGTTAATATGAAAGGATTCTTGACAAAAAAAAAAAATTGGGGTCCTGAAATACTGGTCAGTATTAGGGCATTTAGTAAAAGAGTGAAAGAGTGAGAAATACATACAAAAGTGGGAACAATATCAGTAAAAGGTACATAGTAAAAAATAGTATGACTTAAACAAAAATACTAATCTGCAACAAAATATGATAGCAGCTTTCAAGTAATTTCTATAATGTATCTGTACAATTATGAAAGTGCTATTTAACATGATTCAGAATGCAATGATAGTATATACAGTGTGAGAGATGACATAGTCTACAATCTTCACTCCTATCACAACCAATTTACACCTAGTGTCAAATTCAGGCATAAATTCTGATGTGTTAATTTTGTGAATTAAGTTTACATTTGAGTGAACTGAAAACCCACATACAGCTATAAATCCTACAACCTACAGAGATGGGATAGGATTCCATTTCACACTTGAAGTTTCTTTTTATCTATAGGAAAAATTTAGCCTAATTATAAGTCACTTAAGAAGTGAATCATAAAAATCATATAGAAAAGATGCAATGTTTCCTCTTTTTGGACCTACTGAAAATTTAGAATATAACAATGTTTAAGCAGTTAAAGTATGTTTACGCAATATTATTATTACTTTATATTTTCTCTAATTTAGATGTGAATTTTTGGGTTTCTTGCCTGTTTAAGTCCTGCTGTGATAGAGGTAATCACTTCTATGGTGATTACCATTGAGGAAGGAAGTATATTATCACATGAACTTGAGCATAACTACAAAAACTCCAAAGAAAGTTAACTTGGTCAATTATTTTTCTCTGTTAGTGAGAAAATCGTATCATTTATGTTAAAAGAGAAAATTTCATAAAGTTGTAAAGTTGAAGACATAAGATTATTTTGAAGGCTCTACTCAATGTAACTATTGTATAAAATGGAAAAAGCTATTGGAAAATTGTTATATATAAAACTCAAACTTTTTCAGATTATGGAAGTCTGAGATAAAACCATTAAAATGTCAGCAATAGTGATGACTACATGGGTGAGTGATAAATAAAAAACTGTAGCACATTCAAAAGTGCACTTAAAGCCTATGCAGTCAAATACATTACATGGAACAGCTGGGAATAAATTAAACCTTGAAGAAACTTGAGATTTTACTGATGGCATTTTTGAAGAGAGAGGGGTATTTAATTATGAAAATGTTCAGCTCTAAAAACACTTTTATTTATTTATGCATACAAGAACTGGGGTGCAGGGGATGAGAGGATTCACCAGAGACAGAGTGGGGAGCAGAACAGGCCAACTGATAAGTACACTGCTGAGGGGAGCAGTGGGCGGGTCAGGAGAGGTCTCCTGTGCCATGTGGGTCATCTCCCTGACTGGAGTTTGAACTCATGCTGCAGTGGCTGTGGCTAGCTTTATTGTGTTATGCTTTAACTCGTTGTGGGAGGGCCTTGAAAATGCTCTTGACTGTTTGGAGACTGACAGTTTTTAACATTTGCTGAGTATTTACTAGATGCCAAACTGTTCTGAGCTCTAACACAATCCATTTACTCCTCTCACAGCCCCAGAGCCAAGTGTACTTATTCCCACATTAACGAAGGAACTTGAGGCCCAGAGAGCACAAGGAACACGTACAGGGTCACAGAACTCTGTAGAGCCACACAGTTGGCAGCAAAGCCTGTAGCTGGTGTCCTGTGCAGAGTCTCAGTCTAGCAGTTCATGAATATACAGCACTCTTTTCTGTGTACATTTACGCCAATAATCCACAGTAAGCCTACGAGCTAAATATTACTTATCCTCTAGTCAGAAACAAGGAGACTGAGACAGCAGGTCCAGGATTAGAATCTCATGTTTTCAACAACTCTGTTCTCAGTTTGGCTAAAGGGATCCAAAGTAAATTTACAGTTTATGGGTTGGAGGGGACAATGGAGGCCACATAGTAACACAGTGTGAGCAACAATTTAAGCTTGGACTTGATATTTCAACATATTTCTTTGTGTCTAGGTGCTCAATAATTATTTTTGAGAGATGAATAAGTGAAAATGACTATAAAGCAGTAAGGCTATTGATAGACTGAACTTTACTTTTGATATTCAATAGTAGCCTGGATTACACAACTTTAAAAGTTGCAATAATAAAATAAAATATCCACAGCAAAAGAACCTTAGTTATGTATATTTTCTGAAATACCATGCATGAAGCTAGAGTCCACTGTGCTAGCTCAGCCACAAAATACCTGGTTTTGACTTTCTGATTTGAATTTATACTAAGTTAGATGAACAAAATTTCCAACTCTATGATATTTTTTATAAACATCATCTAACAATAAAGCACAACTGTTTTCATTATTTAAAAATACTATTATAATTATGAAGATCATAAATGACTTTTTCAAAAAATAGCTGAATTAACCTTAATTAAATCTTAATTGTGGACTCAAGCTTAAAAGTATGTTCTATTTTAATTAATGAAAAATACCTACTTTTTAAGGTATGTTTTTACCTAAAACTATATTCCCATCATAAAAGTTTTCTAAGAGGACCTTAAGTTAAATCAATATCAAAACTCATTGTCTCATTTCTTGTTCTTATTCAGTGAGTGAATCTTCCTCAGAGAGAGGTGTTTCTAATCCTCCCTTTGCTGATCTCAATCAGAAGTGTTAATGCTTCACCTCAGATATCAAAGAATATGAGAAAAACTGACAAAATGGTAGAAATTACACTGTTTCTTTGGTTCTTTTCCTGATTTTCCACCCTTGGGGCTACAAAGGGCAATATTATAGACAGCATGGTCTGTTCATATTTCTTTCTTTCTTTCAAGTATTTTTATTCAGTTTAGTATAAAATGAAATATAGCTACCATCTTCCTAAACATCTAATAGTAAATTGATAACATCTACTTTTTCATAAATTGCTTTCTGAAAGAACTTGTCATTACATACCTTAGCTTTTACCTGGAACTGTATCTAGTGGGTCAACATACTGTTTAAGAAAAAAAATATATTAAAAGTACCATGAGTTCAAATACATAATGTGTTTTATCACTTCAAAATTTAGCAATAAATTTATTTTCTGTAGCACTTTCATTATTAATTGGACTTTATATTATTTTAATGTGTAATGTTCTCATCTTAATATAATTTGTAATTAAATGTTTGATACAATGTATGTGCTGTAATTACATGCTACAACTTAATTCAGAGCATGCAACTAGCAAGTTTCTCTAGCTCTCTCCTAATGAAGGAAGTTCATCCATTAGAATAGAGAAAATAACAACAAAAATCAAATGAAAATAATACGTTGTTATGACTAACATAGCTGTTTCTCCAAAGGCTTACCGTTGCTATTATTTTTGGTTCATAGGGACCGAGCCCCTTTTATTTTTACGTCAGAGATGGAGTATTTCATTACAGAAGGTGGGAAAAAACCACAGCATTTCCAAGATTTTGTGGAGCTCTGTTGTCGAGCTTATAACATTGTCAGAAAGCACAGCCAACTGCTCTTGAACCTGCTGGAAATGGTAAGACCCTTGGGGAACTAACAAAAATAATATGTTTCGTTTATGTCTCTCTTTCAGTAGTCTATTTTTGCTAATGACTTGGAGTTCCCCAAAGAGCTATTCAAAACGGAAAGGAATGAACAGACCAAAAGTATCATTGTACAGTTTAGAAACACATTTCTTAATAATTCATTAGTTTACAATTATTTTCTCAAACACTTCTTTCACAATAATATTGATGTGTTCAGAGGCATTTCAGTATGTATTTTTTTTTTTTAAGAACAAGGACAGTAATTTAGAGAATTGTAACAGCTGTGTTATGCTTTAGGATTTTTCAAAAGTGCCTCAAAAATACTACCTCATTGCCACAGTTTGGTGACACAGTGATGTTTGGCTTGTTCTTCCAGTCTTTCCCTTTGATCACTTGCTTATTTTCCAGATTAAGAAACTGAGGATTAAAATGTAAGGTGGGACCTTCCCTGGTGGCACAGTGAGTTAAAGGGCATTACTGCAAGCTGGCCACAGCTGCTTCAGTGCAAGTTCAATCCCCAGCCCTGGAGGTGACCCACATGGTGCAGCAGACCTCTCCTGACCCGCCCGCTGCTCCCCTCAGCAGTGTAATTTGTCAATATGCCTGTTCTGCTCCCCTCTCTGTCTCTAGTGAATCCTCTCACTGCCCCTGCCCCTCTGGCTTGTACCCCAGTTCTGTATGAATAAATATTTCTTAAAATATATATATATATAAGCAGCACATATAGCAGCACACATTAGGTTTACTGAGTCATGGTCTTATATGCTCTCACTGTCCAGTACAAAGTGATAGAAACCACAAATACAAATAAGGAGAGATGGGAGATGGATATGCAGAAAGATCTGTAGAATTATCTTCTTGGGAAAGAATGTGGTGATGTCTTTGAGTACAAACATACATACTAGTAATTGCAGCAAACTAGAGGAAAGAATCACATTTGGTAAATCAGTATGGTGCGTAGAGTCAGTAGAATCACTAGAAACAACTGGTGTAGATCTTTAGATGCTGACCAGGGTATAGGCTTGGTGGTCAGGCTTTCCTGAGTTTAAACCCTAGCTTGGCAGTATCTATTAAATAAATATATTAGCATTTACCTTGTAGGGTTGCTGAGTAAAAGACCTAACATTATAAGCTTGTTTTCACTGCTAGTGCTAAATGACCTATGTGTATTAAATGATATACATTTTATATAACCTGATCAAATAAGACACTTAGCATCTTTCCTCCCATATATAGGGCTTAATTAATTTTCTGTACTAGGTCCTCGTTAATCTATAAGGTATTGTGCAATACCGTATCATCATATCACATATGGCTATTTAAATTTTAATTAATTACTTTGAATAAAATTTATAATTCAACTCCTTACTCTCACTGACCACATTTCAAATATTCACTGGTCACATGAGAATAATAAAAACAGGGAGAACTTTTAGATAATACTGGATACAACAATTATTTTTTGAGAAATTACTTCCATTTGGAATTCTAGTAATAGCCAGTGTTCTGCATTCTAATCACAATCCTGTTAGTCCATATGGTGATGAGAGAGCTTGTGATTCATAAGCTATAACCATATCACAAAGGAAACTCTACGAGATCTGAGTCCATGATTTTGATTGCATTTACATAACAAATATGCACATTGTATCAACTCTGATACCCTCTTGGGTGCTAGTATGCTCTACTCAAGAATCCATGAGCTCATGAACACTTACTATATGACAGAAACTATGGAGGAAACTTTAGCATATGAGAGTAGGAGTCTTATAATTTTTAATAAGGACAATAAAGATCATGTACAACAATAGCTGAGTATCCAGCATTTCTAAATGTCAGTAATGCCAAAAATAACTATATAAGAGAAGTACCATATTCTCGCAACTACTTGTACCAATCACAGACATTTCAAAGATAAATTAGAACAAAAGCACAAATGTAATTTTTACTATTTCTCAGGTGACACTAAGTTGATGTTTATATTAATGATGAAGAAATGCTGAAAGGACAGCTTTTTGAAAAAATAAATTCAGAAAGCCATTGAAGTAATTCCCCCCCCTCTTATTTAACCTTTCTACCTTTCTTAAAAATGTTTCAGCATAAATCATATTAGATAAATTATTAAAGAGTTTATATAATATATTTCATTGTGAGAATTATATATATGCTAAGGTAATCAAATACTGAAATAATTTCTCATAAAATAATATTAAAATCAGATGTTAATGATTTCTAGCATTCTAGTACATCCAAAACTTCTCCCTCTTTTTAGTATTCAAGTTGTGACGTTTAAATTAAGGGAAAAATTTGGCAGTGAAGGACATTTATCTTAGATTTGGACTCTCACAAAAAATGAAATAGAGATCACAAGTAATATGGACCAATTAGGCCAATGGAGAAAGACATGGAAAACAGCAGTGTGTTATATTAGTTTCTTGTCATTTACCTGATTTTCTTCTTTTTATGTGTCTGTCATTTGGAACTCTGTAGCTAATCAAAGCACCAGTAAAGAGGTAAAGAATCTTTAGCTTCCCCAAAAAGGAAGAACCAAATATAAGTTTGCACAGGATAGTTTTCTACCTCTGTGGGTTTTCTGTATTTCCCCCATTCTCTCTCAAACTGACTCCTGTGTTAACTCAGTCTACTACACCATGACCCAGTTACAACTTGAAAAATATTTGATCCGAGTTATAAATGGTCAGTACCCAGGTTTACGAGCCACAAGTGTCTGGTGAGTCTATTGTGGATTTAGTGGCTCATCCTCCATAGGGAGAAGCACGTTTCCAGACATCTGCAGTACTTTTTTATTTACTCCTGGGGAAAGCTGTGGGTAAAATAATCCATGAAAGTTCCATCTTGCTTAAAAGCAAAACATCTGTAGGAGACCCAAGAGTGTTGCTGGCTGGATTCACTAACATAAAAGCCTATATTTCATCAGCTTTTCTCTCATTAAAAAAATCAATATCAGCTATAATGGAAGGCTTCCAAAGAACATGGGAACCATTCACCCAGTTTAAAATGTTTATCACACCCATTATTATATCAGATATTTCCCAGCAGAAATCTTTCTAAATTCTCTATGTGATGATGAAGAGTGTCTATTTCCCTAAGCATAGTCATGGGAGCAGATTTGGACATAGTAGAACAGAAGTAGAAAACTTCAAATGTACTTGTCTTTTAAAAAGCAGCTCATCTGTTCATCAGTTGTACTGCCACCTTTTCCCTTTCCTGTTGCCCCACTTTAAAGGTATAACCCATGCCATCAAATCTAGGAGGCACTAGAACCACATGGCTGGGTGTCGGTGAACAGAGAGGCTAAGTGGCCTCAGCGGTACAGAGTCAGCAAACTCAACACCTCCTCTGAGGAATGGAGCTCATCAATAAGAGCAAATTTAGCACTTGGCACCTTTGTTCAGACATACGAGAGGGAGAGAACTGGGGTTCATCCTTTTTGAAGCAGTGTATACTGGTGTGTGTGTGTGTGTGTGTGTGTGTGTGTTGACAGAGAAAGGAAGGAGTAAGTATAAGGTCCACTTCCAGAGAAATGTCTGACAGCATCCTAAGCAAGCAAGTATGTATTCACAATTTCTAGAGAAACTAGAATGCATTCAGATCTAGGGGAGAAGCCTATTCTTACCAAATGGGTGACCCCAATTTGTAAAAAAATCCAGCTTTCTCAATCAGTACGCAGAAATCTCTAGAACTCAATGTATAAAACTGATTAAAGCCTAATCTAGATTTTAATCAATTAGGGGATGTATCTTCCTGTGGTTAACTCTGGTAAGTTTGTTGTCAGGTTTGAATTGTCTAGCTACAACGTTTTCAATGCCTAAGGGATCAGGTATTTTTTTCATTCAGTCACATGTGCATTCATTTTTCACATACAGTCAGTAAATTCTAAGCACTGTACTGAGCAATATGAGAAATTTAACATTGTATAAAAACTCAGTTCCTGTCCTCAAATAATGTAGAATATAATTTGACAAATATATTTATGAAAAAAATATATTTAAAGCTAGAAAACAATAAATACCATAAAAGAGGTAGGACCAACCTATGTTTGCTGTATACATTATTAAACCTAGAAGAAAGACTTTCTTGGCTGACAGAAAAGAAAGTATGTGTGAAGGAATAAAGATCATAGGCATGACATGTATTAGAAATGGAATGGGTGCCAGCCTGTGGTGTTGATGGAGGTAGCTGGGGGTGACATATTATAGTTAGATAATGAAAGGCTTTTAGAGCTGAATGATAACTTTACACTCTAACTTCAAAATCTAGAAGTTTGATTTTCCATCATCTAGCTAGGATTTAAAATAGGTAACTCACAAATTATAAAATCAGAGACAGAGATAAAGACAGAGAAATTAAAAAACTAGAAAAATTCTATTCAAGCAGTCTCAGCAAATGAGCTAAGACAGATAATTACAAGAGAAAGGGAGCATGAAAACAAAAGCCCATTGAGTTGGTGTTTATAGAATTAAGTGATAACAATCAGGAGAAGGTCTCAAAGCAAATAAGGGTTTTTCATTGTTGTTAGATAATGGTGGCAGTGTAAACAGATATGCGAAACAGGAAAAAGGAGGAAGATTTTTGGAAAAGGAGAATGTGCTCAAAGTTACGTATCATGAATTAAAGATCTTTGAGAAGGACCTTCCTTGGTGGCCTTCCATAGTGTAGCACTATGAAGCTATTTGCTGGCACTGCCCTGTGGGTTCGAACCCCAGGCAAGGAGGTGAACCACATGACACAGCAGACCTCTCCTGTCTTGCCCGCTGCTCCCCTCAGCAGTGTATTTTAGCACATCTGCCTGTTGTGCTTCTCACTCTGTCTCTGATGAATCCTCTCATCCCCTTTCTCGCACCTCTGGCCTATATCCCCGTTCTTGTATGCATCAATAAAGTGTTAAATATATTTTATACTTTATATATATGTACATATATATAAAGATCTTTGAGAAGGGACAGTTGACAACTCTCCAGGATGACCTGTTTCATTTCCATGTTTTCACCATAATCTATATGGTAGTAGCTCCCAAATCTGTATTTATAGTTATACTCTTTAGACTCTACTCAATACTCTATATGTTCAATTCTACTTCCTAAATATATTTAAAATCCACTAGCTTACTTCCATTTCCAACCAGTCTCCTAGTCCAGCCTTCTATTTAGCTCCAATTTAACCAACTTTCCACATATCACCTCATTCAAACACAATTCAGTCTTTCTTATGCATAATTTAAATCATTTAAAGGGCTTTTTCTTGTCTTTAGGATAAAGTACAAAATCTTAGCATTACTAAAACTACTCTTGTTGCTATTTTAGCATCATCTCTTTTAATCTCCACAGGATACCCTATGTCTAAGATTTCTTCATGGGAGTCAATGAAAGCTATCTTGCTCTCTGCATATCTGCCTTTGCTTCTCCCTCAACTTGGTTGGGCATGGCAGGAGAATACTTTCTAATCCATTTTTCTCACATGAGCTTTATCACCACAATCACAACTTCACCCATCCTCCATAGTCATGTTCTCAGTTTATCCTTTATTTTTAGGACTACAGCATTATTCCTAGCTTCCCACTGTAACCCTACCACATTTCCAGAGTGTTAATTATCATTTTACATTGGGATCCTGCCCACTTTGCTCCACCTCAGCTCTTTCTTCCTTACCCTCCTCTTCTTTCCCTCCTCCACCCCCATCTCATTCTCCTTTTGCAAAGTTCATATTTATCTCAGAAAGGTGCTGTGTTTTTAAGTATTTTCTTTTATACTATAGAGAATATTATCCCTTCATCCTACACTATAATATAAATAAAACCCTTTCCAAAGCTTAGTAGAAAAATACCTGATATTTCATACAGTTTATCTTCAGCTATTTCATTGCTTTGATAATCAAATGAATGTGATCATCACTAAACAGAAAAATATTGTTTTCTGGTGGCATGAGTCATAGAGTCATGAAAGAATGTCAGATTAAAAACCAGGGGGATGAGTATTAATCTCTCTGCTTACATACAATTGACCTGAAAGTTCACTTAGAGTTTTCAAAGGATTAAGTTTTTCTTCTTTAGTATGAACACTGTAACATATTTTCTGTATAGTAATTTATAATGTCTAAAACTCTCTTGTTTATGAGGCATTGGATTCTCATAAAAATGTTGAGTATTTTAATATCTAAGAAAATGAAGGATCAACGAGATTGAGACTTTTTCAAGATTATTCAGATTTTAAATAGTGGATCCAGGAATTCTAACACTAGAGTTATTATTTCTACTGTCACATGCTGAATATGCTGCCTCTACAAAGTAGACAAAATAAAGAGAGTACTACTGTCATAGTTTATGGTTTCATTAAATTATGATGACAATTATTAATCTGCAAGAATTTTGATTTTTTTCCTGTTTTATTATTGTTTCTTCTACTAAAATATGGGAGGTTAGAAACATGAACTTTTGTTCATTAATGTTTGCAAACTGAAAGGTGCTACTATGTAAAGTTCAGTTTATGCGTAACAGAATTAACCATTAAATGCAATCAAATTTGATCATGTAAGATTTGATCCTCATTTATTCGATTTTGCTTTATTCATGTGCTTGTTTTGTTAAGATGCTACATGCAGGGTTACCTGAGCTAAATGGAATCCAGGACCTGAAATATGTGTATAATAATCTTCGGCCACAAGACACAGACCTGGAAGCAACAAGTTATTTTACCAAGTAAGATGAACTGTAGTTATATTTGTGTGTACAGACTTCCACAGTCATGGGTATAAACTGTCCTTTCTAGAGCCAACTTATTCTTTGCCAAGGATAGTAAGAAAGCAATATGGATGTCTGGTAGAAAACCTTAGTCAGGGTTTCTGTGGCATGCTGTTGTTTGCTAACCAGCCTCTTTATCTAACACATTGTTCAATAAGGGGTCACTGAAAAGAGCAAGGGCTGACATAAATAGATTGGTTGTTCTATTTGAACTATGTCCAGAAAAATAAATTGGAAAAAGAGATTTCTGATGAGATAAGAACTCACTCCTTTCATCTCAAAGATAATATAAATGTTGGAACATTAGGTGACTATCTTATTATTAATCTTTTTTTTTATTAAGCAAGTTTAGGAAAATACTAGTATATCAAGGTAAGAGTCTAAGTAAAATACAGTGAATATCAACTGGACCCCAACTCTTATTTTATAAGACTCTTTGAACTTCCATTTTTTAATGCATAGCATAATTCCTAGCCTATTTTAGGCTCAATAAATGTTAATTATAGTAATTATCCTCATAAACAGTTTAAGTAGAGCAGTATTTTTCTGTAATTTCTTAACATTGAATCTTACTTATATCTAATTTTTAGTTGTTTTAATATTTTGAACTGGAAATTGGAAAACAATGTATACTCTTTAATGAAGGTATCATTTTTTCCTTTTGAAGAAAACAATGCTTATAATAAAACTTGCTTCACCAGGATTGTTTTTTTTTCTTTCCAGCTTCCAGAATGTAGAGTGACATATCACTCCTCTTTCCAAGGGAATAGTAAGAGTTCAAGGGTATGCCTTAAAGAAAACACTTAAAGAATTTCATATTTGTAAAGGATCTCTGTTTCATAAACTTTAATGGATCAGCTGTCTTGTGGCGCTTGTGTTTTGTTAAGATGCTACAGGCAGGATTGCCTGAGCTCCGTGGAATCCAAGAACTAAATATCAGAGCTCAAAGAGAACTTACAGCTTATTTATTCCAAAAACAAACAAATGAGAAAACTGAGATTGAAAGAATTAAGGATCTTTCCCATGATTAAAGATGTAGTAAGAACAGAGTTAGGATTTTGATCTGAGAGTTTTTTCAATATAATATTGGAAACTATATGATATGATTAAGGAAAACCAAACAGAGCCCCTGCCCAAGACACACCTTCCTATTAACTACTCTGTTTCAGAAATCCTATCATTAGAGGTTCTTAGAGAAGTCTGGTAGACTTTTTTTTCCTTTTCCATCTTAAAAAATGCCCCCTATTAGTAAAAGTACCTCTGGAAGAAGTATTTGTTGATGTGCATTTATAAAAACCACAAATATTAGTTGGTAATAGACACTACTTTGAAGACTAGCTATGTGCTTGAAATCCTTGATTTCCAGAATGAGGAAGTCCAAGTTACCTCCATTTCTGGATCTGAGGACTTGTCTGAGAAGTGCTGCCCAACCTGGTCCAATTCACTGCCACCCAACATAAGTAGATTCACCTGGGGCCAAAAATAACCCCCTCAGGCTATTCCTTCACCATCTGAGTAAGTTGCTTTTTTTTTTTTTTCACAGCAAGACATCACTCTCATTTTATCTATGGAGTATCTATCTATCTATCTATCTATCTATCTATCTATCTATCTATCTATCTATCTATTTAACTATCTATCTATCTCTAACTGAAGTAACATCAGGGTACCACCATCAGGTACTACAACCACAGTGTATCTACCACCATAGTGTCTCCACCACCAACTCACCCATGTTCTAACACCACAGACCATCATGTTTCCCTCCCTATTCTTTCCCCTCCACCATCCCCTCCCCTCCTTAATGTCTCCATTCTCTAGTCAGCTATCAAAGGTTAGAGCTTGGAAAGATAATGCTAAGCAAAATAACTCAGAAGGAGAAAGTTAAATACCCGATGGAGTCACTAACATGTGGAATCTAAAGTAATGAAATTAATAGTCAGATAAAGCATATCTTTGTTTAAAGTCAGCCACAGCACAGCAGACACAATGATTGATCTCTCACTATGTCTGCTTGGGGAATAAGGGAAGAGCGTGGAAAGGGCTGAAAATGAGGAGGTAGGAAGCATGTGACGGGCTGCAGACTGTGTGCAAGGTTCTTGCTCAACAAAGTGATCACAGTGCTGCAGTTGTCCCTCCTAAGGCAAAAAGAAAGGAAATACTATGTATCAAATTAAAAAAGTAAATAAATAAATAAATAAAGGCTTTTTTTAGATTCTGATCACAGGAAACATATAAATAGGCTTTGTCTGCCAGATACTCATCCCTCCCATCCTGACTTTACCTGTCACACACAGATCTGTGAAGAGCACAATCTCGAGCCAGGTGAGTTTGCCTAAGTTGACTTATCTCCCTTTGCCTTTCAAAAAGACATGAACTAGTGTGGGAACTAGGTCTGAAGCCAGTAACCGCCTAGCTGTGAGCACGACCTCATTATCCTGCCTGCATGTCTCTGTCAGGCTAATTTTCCCACTTTCAGATGTCATGTTCTGTTACTTATCCTTCCTTCTACAATTCGATGGTAAAGAACTGTTCTCCACTGCAGTCTTAAAAAGCATCTAGTCATCTAAACTGGGGCAGTTCATTTTTCAATAGTTATCTTTGACTTGTCATTCCCTGCCTGTCACTTCTGATTATCTTTGACTTGCCATTCCCTGCCTTTATCAAGGTTTAGCTACCCAACCACTTACTAAGTGAATATTTTTTCTATGTAGAGCACTTTATTGATGTATATTCATCCATGCTATTTCTATATATATTATATGTATAGCATCACTTGAAATGCTTTCAAAGAATCATAGTTGTTAGAGTGGAGGATAAGCCTAATCCACTTTTCAGTCTTACCTACCTCTTGAGACTTCAGATAACTACTGCCTTGTCCATGAAACCCTCTCTGTTTATCACTAACTAATACTTCCTTCTATAATTCAACAGGACATGTCCTATCTCCTACTGTATTTAATATACTACCAAATTACATGCCACATAGTATTTCACTTTAATTAATACACTTGGTCATTTCCCTCAGTTTCTCCCACACAAAGCAGGAGCTATTTTTCCTCCTTCCTACTCCCAAAGATGTCTGAATGTGAACATGCTCTGTTCCCTTTAAAATATATTTAAAAGTTTAATTAAATAGTATATACAACCTAGACATAAAACATTAGGTATTTTAAAAGCAGATAAAATGCCTAACCTTTAAAATATAATGCTTTGTAAGCGTCAAGTCCTATTCTAAGGGCTTCTCCTATAATAACTTATTATTCATCATCACTGGTCTGTGGAGCAAAACATTGTTGTCTTCATTTTTAGATTAGGCAATGAGACGTGAAATAGTTTGCCAAAGGATGGTGCTAGCAGGAGACAGAGCACAATTTGAATTGAGAAGGCCAAGCTCTAGCGTGTGGAGCCTAAAACTATCCTGTGAGCTCAAAACCAACTTTCCCAAATGTAGACCATCAAGCTGTGCAGCTGTCTGACCCAGGCCGTGGCTTCTCAAGGCTCCTCAGCAACCACCTTGGCTGCATTTCCACTAGGGTAGTTCCCTATACCGGTCCTCAGGCCCCAATCTTCACATCCTGAAGAGCCCAATCCTTGGCTGCACACACAAATCACTCCCCAAAATTATCATCTGTGCTACCACCAGGTGATCCTTGGGAGCCTGGCTCCAGTTCTGCTGCACAGCTGCCCTGCAACCCCCCTGGGGTGGCCTGCCACCTTCCCATCCTCTCTCTGATTTGGCTCCTTCCCAGATTCCTGGAACATCATCCTATTTTTTCCCCTTTTCTCCTCAGAGAAATCTCCCATGATACTCACTCTCTCTTCAACTTCAGCCAGTTTCAGTCATATAGTTTATCCCAGAATCTCAATTCCTTACCTTTATGGATTAATCCTTCATGGATTTTGAGTTTGTCTTTTCCAGTCTGCTCTCTACTCTGGTGTCAGCATCTGTAGACCAAGCATTGAGGAGCTCTTCTGTCACATGGGTCATCCAACAATGGGAAGGACCTGTTATCAAGGTTCAAGAAAACACAATTAACTGTGACTATGGTTTCTTTAAAAATTTTACTTAAAATATCTCTGTTATTTAGGTAGTAAAAATTAAAGCAGATTATATAATATTTTGTTAAACAGTATATGACATGAATTTTTTAAAAGTCTGGTTAATGGAGCTTTCAATGACATGGTCCACATAATTCGAATTATCTTCTATGTACTTACTACTGCTACCTTAAGCTCTATTCTCTGACATCACAAAGATTTCAAAACTTAAACCTGAAACATAGACACCAATGTATATATTTTACCAAAAAAGAAACCAAGTTCTGGCTTTGTAATGGGTTTGGTGTTGGTGCTTCAGAGTATCATCCACGGTAATATAATTAGTGGAGTTCCTGCATATTTAAACTCTTTTGTTTTGACAGGCTAAAAATGCTAATGCCACCACTCTGATAGCACTACTAACATGCAGACTAAAAGCCAGATCAAAAATCCAGCTCCCCACCAACCCCACCCCACTAAACTCACAGATCTGGATCATGAATGAGGACTTGGCCCTCTGAGACACAGAACATGTGGCTATTTCCCATACCCTGGTCCTGACCACAGTATTGGCACTCAGACGCTGCCCCTTGCCACCCTATTTTGTACTTGAAAGAAAGATACTTGACTTCTCCTGCTTCCCAAAAGGGGTGCTTTAAGAACAGTATGGGATCCTACCCAGCTTCTGGGCATTTACATCGTAGGTTAAGAGCTAATCATAGGAATTTCAGAGAATGTTCCCCCTCTGTGTGGTATTAAAAATTGTATTATAATTAACAGCATTTAGAGAAAAATGAAAATAAAATTGGTTTGCTGGCCACAAAGGTTTTTCACATCATTGCCAACTCCCTGCTTCTCTAACTTTTTTCTACTCCCCTTGCAGCTGAGTGCTGTTGAATAGAATCAGAAAGTGCTAT